ACACACACACACACACACACACACACACACACACACACACACACACACACACACACACACACACACACACACACAGCCCCAGCCAGACTGCAGAGGAATTAGTCTTCCCCGCCAAAATGGAGTCACAGTAAAAACAGTCTCTGCCCACCAACAGGAAGCAGGTCACAGTTTTTGTGTGCGAGTATGCGGTTGTGTGATGTGCCAAAGGATAGGTCCTCCCTGTCTGGGTAGGGGAGAAGGGGGCACCAGGTGGTAAATAGTAAAAAGGAAGCGGGAAAATAACAACAGCCATCTAAAAGCACAGGGTTCAGGTTTCCAACAAGTATGCGAACAGCAAGGGCTTTTCAAGCCAAAAGATCATAATGATACCGTTCTGAAAATCAAACTGGAGAAGACAAAGGCTTGGTAAGACTCATTTAAACCGAGACCAGAGGTTGTGAGGAAAAAAAAACTACAAAGAAATGGAAGTGAAAATCCTGTCGCACGTGAGCCTGCAAAATGTTTATTCTCAACATAAACGCTTTGAGGCAATAAAAGCCTGCGATGTCTGTGTTTATATGGTAGTTTGGTGTCGTTGTGTGTTTATATGTGACACCTTATATATAAAGTAGCTACTGTATGCCAACTCTCTCAATATCCACACAAAGTAGTGAATAGCACACATATACCATTTTATAATAAATCTGTTTCTGTAAATCTGATTTTAGTTTTTGATTTTACAGAGAAACGCTAGCACAGTGAAGGAAGCATCGAAAGACATTTGGGAAAAAGGGCGGCCAAAGTTAAAAATAAAAGATAATTTAATTCACTTCCAGTGCAATGCATCTCTTTGAGCCTAATCTGACCTGCAGGGACATTCTTTGGAGTGGAAAATAATCCCCAGACATGCACATGTGGGCACACACAGCTGGATCTTCTACTGTCTGCAGCTGCCTTCTCATCTCAGCAAAGAGAGGAGGAGCACGGGAGGAGGGTGGGATCAGAGAAACAAGGAAGGGAACCCAATTGGAGGGAAATGGAGGGAAGGCAGAAAAACAAAAACATGAGCCTAGAGGCACATACTGAGTACAGTCGTGCAGACTTTGATGTATGCACACATACACAGAATGCAAAATCGCAAACATTTGGGAGCTGAGTTAAATATAAGAAAAACATACGATTTGCATAAGGAAAATGTAGATAATTGAAAGTAAATGAAATAAGTGTCTTTTGTGTTGGTGAGTGCTTGCACTGTAAAGATCTTCATTACTTTGACTGCCAGGCCCCGATTATCATGAGCATGATTAAAGAAAAGAAAACAACACTTACTACAAACATACCCTAACATTAGCCTAATGTGGACCCTGCACTCCCAGCGACCCTAATGGGTTTCCCTCAGCGCTGATAGTAGAGTGTGAATTGTCGTTCCTCTGACATCAGGCAACAGCTGACACACAGACACACACACTATCCACATTCATGTTGCATACATTAGCCGTGCTTCTTTGACCTGCTTCACACCAACACGGCACAATTTGTCACACCTTATCTATCATAACAGACAGATTTTATTTGCCTCAACTGTGAGGTGTGCGCCACCAGAACAAGTAATAACAAATCTATTGTAACACCATCTTTATCGTGGTCATTAACAAATGTAATCTGAACTAAGATGTGATGTTCACAAGCGAAATGTAGCTGCTAAAGGGTAACCTACAGAAGTTGAATTTTTGCTGTTATGTTTTCCCTGTGAGGCTAGTGTTTTTAGAGCTATTCAAAGTGGGTTTACATGGTTTAGGGGCTTTAGTTTTGTGAGACCTTCTCAGCACAAAAAAAATGACCATGGAAAGTCTCTAGTCGGAAAAAAGAACAAAGTGAAGCTTAGCTTTTCTCCACATCAGCAGCAGTATAACTCAGGTCATTTTACAGTAAGTATATTATCCTGTGTTTTGTTTGTACAAGATGTGACAGTTCCCTTTGTGTTTAACTTTAGGAAAGTCTGGCATACGGCTAGGTGTAAGCAGAGAAACACAATGACAGATAACTCCAGTTACCTTCCCTGTCACACAGATACACACACGCTGACAAACACCACAAATGAAGCCATTCCTCCTCTCCACTCAGCCTTATAATAGGAGACTGGGGGGGGACTCAGTCAGTGGAAGAGTGCAAGTGTGTATATGTGTGTGCTCATGTCGACTGATTCCCTTGTCTGGTGGAAAATGCTGACTTTTAATGTCCTTTTTTCCCCTCTTTTCATAAAACACAAAGCCACAGACTTAACTGGGCCTCTGCATCTCACTCCCCCGCCTCTCTCACTGTCCCATTCTCCCTTTCTCTCTTTATCTCTCTCTCTGTGTCTTTGGCCATGGAAAATTGGATTGAGGAAAAAAAAGAAGAGAGAAGGGATAGAAGA